GAGTCAGGTATAAAAGACAAAAGCCTTTTCAGCTGGGTGGGCTTACTTTCCTGTCTTTGAAGTACTAAGTATCCTTTGCAGGAATCAAATGCATTGATCATATTATATTTTTTCCCCAGTGTAACTAAAAACAGTGTGTTAGTAAACAATGTGTGTTGTGAAATTCTTTACTCTTACAGATAGGTTTCAGGGTAACTTTATACGTATGCTCATTTTCTAGGATAAAATATAGGCACAAACATTAGCAATATATATATTATATATATAATAATATTATATATAGCAATATATATATAATATATAACATATATAAGCAATATATATATATGCCATCGTATGTGATCCATGGATAGAAACAGAAGTCCACAGAAGTTGCTGTACTGCGCATTTTCTCTGCATAGCATTTGAAAGGGATCCTGTCCTCAGAGTCCTACAAATGCATCAGCTATTTCATAGCTTCAGTTAAATCTACAATTATCTGATCCAAAGTGGTAAAATATAAAAATAAAAGACTCTGGTTAAGCCGAAAGTACCTTTAGTACAGAGAAATTCTGAGAATTTCCCAGGCCCTTGCTTGGAAGCTTTTCTCTCCGTTTTGATCTATCATGAATTATGCTATTTTTCTTATCTTCATCGTTCTGCGTTTATGAGTGCAAATTTTCTACAACCCCCTATGCAGGAACGTCTTTGAAAATTATCTGATGCTTTTGCTTGAGCGACTTTAAGGCCTCCAGGAGGAACACATGTATCTCTTTATCTTGGGCCACCAGGGTTATGCAAATCAAGCCCACAGGTGAATTAAAAAAATTCTCTGGTTGGATCGCTCTTGAAAGAGCACAACAAAATTGCCCTTCTCCTTGCCAGCTAACTTCTGTCTTCACCACCTTCTCTGAGGTATGTCTTATTGAATCTACTTGTGTTCGTAGAATTTAGTATTCATCCTAGAAAGGACAATTTTCATTTTCCCAAAGAAGGCACTGAGATTCTAAAGTCAGTAGAGTCCTCAGGCCTTAGGGACAATGTGGGAAAGCGGTCCTCCCTGTGTGTCCTACATCTCAGGAGGCCTCTCTGCTCCTGCATTCTTTCTTGTTGCATAAGCGCATCAGGGCAGGTGAGAGCAAATGATCCATCTTCATTAGTACTCTAGGCGGTTAGACCAGCTGTCCTGCCAGCACTAAACTTTGGGAAGGGAGTACAAAGAACATCTTACAAGTCATGGAAACAGTAGCATTAATAAATAGCCCTTTCTTTGCTCTGTCATCCAAGGGGACCTGTAAACGATAACCAGCAATAACCAACTAGACTTGGTTTAACATACTTTTTCAATCAAAGGGAATAAAAGGCCTTTGAAAACTGGCTATTTCAAGGCTTGGGTAAGAAAGAATAAAAAAGATTTTGGTGGGGGTATCTTGTAAGGTCATGGAAGAAAGTGCTCAAAGACAATAGTGGAGCCTTAGAGGGACAAAGATGTCTACTGAGAAGGGTCTCTGACTGAAGCAGGGGAGGACATGATTGTAAAGAAGTATATTGCAGGGTGGTGGTAGCACATGCCTTTAATCCCAGCACTTGGGAGGCAAAGGCAAGTGGATCTCTGTGAATTCAAGGCCAGCCTGGTCTACAGAGCAAGTTCCAGTACAGGCTCCAAAGCTACAGAAATATACGCAGTAGGGAGGCAGTGCTCAGTGAATAATGTGAATTCAGACTGACTGTATGAAGCAATGTTGGCAAATAGTATTGATGGTACTTGAGGGAGATGGTCTTACTGTGATTTCTCGGGATCGTTCTACACTTTTTCCTTAATTGTCCATCAAATGGCACAATGGTCAGGATCCACTCACACAGTGTTGTATTTTTATTAGACTTTGCTCCATTTTATAGCTGGGCATTAATTTACTGTTCTATGTACTAACTTCACTTAGTTGGGAAGACACTGCATTACAAAGTGGTGGTTTGAACCCAAACTGAACTCATCTGAAAGTCTGGCATGAGTACTTCTAGAATGAGGGGCTCCAGTTTGAGTCTCTATCGTCCTGGAAAGCGTAAGCAGCTGTGATGGGATTATTGACATATGAGTACCGTAGATAGCCTGCGGGGTGCTGCATGCTGAATACTCAGATGTAGCATAAACTGTAGGCTTAGAAAGAAATGTGCAAGTATCCAGGAGAATATTCGATTTTTTTTTGATAATTGTTTGATAAAGAAATGACAGTGATTCTATATAAAACTCCATAGGATGTTGGTTGAAGAAGAGAGAGTGCTTTTCAATGCTTTTTATGATTCATCTATGAACCTCGTTCATAATCAGTTGTAATTACACTAATTTTGCACTGGTGATTTTTAGATACTGTTTCATTACTGTCCTATTGCTGTGAAGAGACACCGTGAGCAAGTCAGCTCTTACAAAGAAGGCATTTAGTTGGTGCCTGCTCACAGTTTTAAAGGATTAGTCCATCATCATCATGAAGGATGCATGGTGGTAGGCAGGTAGTTATGGGGCTGAGAGTTTACATCCTGATTCATAAGTAGTCTGAGAGAGAAAGAGGGAGAAAGATAGACAGAGACAGACAGAGAGAAAGAGATTCAGATAGGGCTCATTCTCCTTTAAACCACCACAGACATAGATGCAGAAATAAACAACTAAGATAAATATCAGTTTAAGTATATAATACAAGTAAAATTCATTTCACATTGCAATGTGTATTTAACATTTGAAGATCAAACCATGTAATTTATAGTAGCAAAATTCAGTTAGTAGTTGTAATCATTTCCATGCACTAAGGAAATAAAAGACCACTTGACACACATCTAAAAATATGGACCAAGTGTGTGTGTGCATATATATATATGTATATATATACATACATATATATATTACTGTTGAGGATTGGACTACTGTTGGTATAGAGCCAAATATCCGCAGAAACTGAAAGAAGCAAACAACCCAATCATGACAAATAAACTCTGAAAGAATTCTGAAACTTTCATTATGCTTTTAAGCCAAAGAAAAATGCAAGAAAATTGTTTTTAGTTTTTTACTTTCTTGGCTATAATTCTTATGGATTATCTACCCAATAACATGGAGAAGAAAGAAAAGTATAATTTCTCGTAATGCAAGAAAAAAGTAGTTTCCCTCTTACTAAAAATTGCCATGTCTGTAGAAAATGTAATGAAACACGCAATTATTTTAGAAAGTCTAAGATGAGTGTGTCAAAGAACTGAAAGAGAGTTCAGTGCCCTGTTATTACTGGTCTGCTCTATATGTATGGATATTGGAGAGTTACAGCAAAACTAAAACCTTAAAGTCATTTGTAGTAGAATTTTGCATTATGCATCGCACTATTCAACCAGGAATGAAATAAATCTCACAAAGTGCCGGGAGACTAACTTCTAATTCCCAGTGGGTCCGATGACTTGGGTCGGATGTGTGAAGTCAGAGTAAGGATGAAACTCTGACCACCTGTTTCAAACAAGCAGTCTCGTCGAGCCTGAGCTGTTTTTATTTGTACAGTTTCAATAGTTTTCATGAAAATTTTTATAATCATATCTGCTTCCTTAAGTTTCTAATAATAATTAAATAGTTGCTGGTTTTTTTCCCTCACCTCCTTTCCTTTCCACCCCCCTTTGCACCATTAATCATCACCGACTTGATTCATAGCTTCAATAATAGAAGCATTAGCAATATAGCAAGTAACAAAGAAAATTTCCTAGCTAGGTACACCTACAGGTAAAACAGTGTGTCTAGCTAGCAGCATTTGCAGTTACAGCATCATACAAAATGAAAGAGAATTTTAGCTCCAGTGGTCAATGTTCACCTCTAGTCAACTCTAAGCTCTCACAATGAACTCATCAGCCAAGGCTGAATCAATCCATTCTTCATTCTATACCATCCTACCTCCTATGGGGAATATGCCAGGTTTCCCCCCATCATCCTGTGGACTACATAACAAGAACTTTTTTGTGCTATTCTCGGGTCATGTCTCCTGAAGAAGTCACATGGTCCCCAGCAACAAAGGATTTTAAACTTTCAGTGACCACTAAAACTTGAGTTAAGATGCAATTTTTTTTTTCACAGGAACAAAATAATCCCTATTAGAATACTAACAGAAACTTCTATAGCAGAAATGAACAAACATATTCTAAAAGTCATATAATGGCAAAACACCCCAGTTATCCACATGGATTTTAAAAAATGATAAAGGCAACATATTGATTTAAAGTTTTGAGAGCATCTATTTTTAATATTTATTATATACTACAATAATCAAGACATTGATGTGTTCCTCAATGCAATATTTAGATCAATGGATATCAGTAAAGAACAAGATTATCATCATTTGAATGAATATGTACAAGAGATTTTGACACAATCAAAGGAGCAATTTATTAGGGAAATAGTGCTTGAACCTTTAAGTACCTTTGTGTTTAAAATGGATTTTTTATTTGTAAAATATGCAGAAATTAACTAAAAAAAATCTTAGAGCTAAGTATAAAACCTCATGAAATTTTAGCCAAAACCTTTATGATGTTTAGTTAAGTAAAAACGTTTTAGATACAGTTCAAATGTTTAACAGGAATGAAAAAGTTGTTGTATTGGACTTTCGTTTAAAAGTTGTCATTTGGTAGAAATTCAAAAGGAAAATCTTTAACTGCAATGAGTTAACCATACCATTCCCCTGAGCTGCTGAAGAGGGAGCAAAAATACCACAGTTGTGTATGAGATGTATAATCACTTGGCTTGTAAAGCTGCAACCAGGAAACAACCTGATGATACATCATTAGGTGTATGGCTGCATACAATACGGTACTTGTGTGAACATGAGATACCAATTCATAACAAAGGGGAATGAGCCTGCCCACATGGGCTTTCCAATAACTACTGCTAATTAACAAAATGATGCAAAATGTCGTCTATTTTAAAAAATTGGGACAGACAGCTAATCTCTTGTTGGCTGAGGATGTCTTGTTATCATTTTTGCTGATCACTATATTTTTTTAGTGCAGTTTCCTAAGTTCTTTGTGTATTGTCATTTTGACAAATCGTGATACACAACGTTCAACTCTCTGTCGCTGCATTCTTTATCTTCGGTAAGACTGAGAAGTAGCCTTGTGCTACCGTTTCATCATCTACTTAGTGTTAACTGTAAGATTTGTTAAATGATTTGATATTTCAATCCATTTGTTTTCTCCTAGTTTCATTGAAAGCTGATATCGGACCAAATGGCTTTCATTCCGGTGATCAAGTTTATCTTACTAATCATGTCGATGTTTAGCCCTTTCTCAGGTAAGTATTTATTTCTTTGTCCTTGAAAAACCTTTGATCATTCAGTAGCTGCAATAATTGGGCCATGCTAAAATAGAGGAACCAACTGGGAAAAACTGAGAGGATCCTGAGGATTTTTTTTTTTTTTTTTGGATTTTTTGAGACAGGGTTTCTCCGTAGCTTTTGGTTCCTGTCCTGGAACTAGCTCTTGTAGACCAGGCTGGCCTTGAACTCACAGATATCCGCCTGCCTCTGCCTCCCGAGTGCTGGGATTGAAGACGTGCGCCACCACCGCCCGGCTGATCCTGAGGGTTTTTTTGAATCTAAGGTATTTCATAGAAAAAAAAAAAGATACTTTTAAAAAAGTACTAAACTAGATTGGTTGTAAGGAATTTACTTGAGGTTCTAGTCTAAGGCTTTATGTAAACCTCATGCTAGTCACTGTTCTCTTTCAACTTCAGCTTCCTTATCTGTGAAGTAAGGGAAAGATCTATTTTGACAGCTATCCTAGAATTACACACATTAGTATCTTAGAGTTTATGACATCAGTAAGGTTATAGCAGTCATACACATGCTTGCATATTGCAACTTAATCACTTCTCTCTTGTGTGTTTATGTAGTCTAGGACTATAGAGAATCTTGGTTGCAATTAAACACCACATTTTAATTTAAAATGTCCAATAGTCATTATTGTTGTTGTTATTGTTTTCCCCTCTGTTCTGATTGCAGATGCACGCTCCAAAGTTAAGTATGAGGAGAGATGTAAGGTGGGCTTCCATTTGGATGATTATAACCTACACAAATCATAATATATTTTATAGTACCAAAAAGATTAACACAAGATGTATTGATTTAAAACAAACAAAACAAAACTTTTAACCTTTCAATTTGTGATGACATCAGAGCGCATGATTGTAAATGCTGCCTTCTCTATCAGTGCAGTGTTAGGTATGAGGGAGTATGGAGAATACTAATTTGTGGTAGCTCAGAGTGTTTGAAGAAATATCTGATAAGTGAGGAGATCAGAAAACGAGGAGTAAATAAACTATATATAACATGGTAAAAGTGGTATGGATTTTGACAAAATAGAAAAGGCTTTTAACCTGAAAGCCACAAAAGAGTTAAAATGTTCTAGGTGAAGATGGTGGGGTAACAGATGGAAGCCAGAAACATTTAGTCTCCCAGGCCACAAAGATTAGAATGTTAATCTTCAAGAAAAACGACTAATGTTTTTGTATGGATTCAAGACAGCATTTGAGAACCATTAGAAGTGCCTAAAACCAGATACTTACATGGGATATTGTGCAATTGTCCTGTCAAAGATAATGTTTGCTCAATGTAGGGTAAAAGAAATGAAAGTAAAAACATGTGAATTGAACTTGTGGTGTGACTGCTTTTATGAATTAATCAAAAAAGAAATTATTGTAGAGTCCTGTCTAAGTTTCAGGAGTTATTCTCATATTCATATTCTGATTTTCAAATCAGAATATCCAGATATACAAATCTAAAAGCAACTTGGATAAATTTTGTACATCAGGATATTCATAGCATGTGGGAGATAAAAATCTTCTATTTCTGTCACTATTGTTTTTACTTTTTAAAAATATCTCTGATTTTTATAGACTGATTGTTCTGATGGAGATACAAGAATAGATTGTACCAAAGATTACTTACCTGTTTGTGGATCAGATGGCAACACCTACGATAATTATTTAGCTTTTTGCACTGCATCAAGGTAAAAACCAAACAAACAAGCAAACAAAAATCCTTTATATTTGTTCTTCTTAAATAATTTTGCCTTAGTCAATAATTCCATGAAAAACAATATTGACAATAACTTAATGCATTGAAACAATGTGGGATTTGAATGTTATTTATATATGACGAAATCACCATTCAAAAGGGTTTCATGGTGGAATATCTTTAGTATCATTCTCTATGATCACAAAGACATATAGATATCAAATAAACCCAGGAAAACCATAGTCCCTGTTTAGTTTTGTTTAAAGACAATTTTGCTCTTGGTTTTAATTTCTACAAGATAGTATCTTTATTACAAAAAATATATATGTGCATGTGTATGTGTATATATGTACACACAAAAACACACACACTCCAATTTTTCAAGAATGCATTTCTCTGTGTAGCTCTGGGTGTTCTGGAACTCAGTCTGTATATCAGGTTGGCCTTGAACTCAGAGATTCATCTGCCTCTGCCTCCTAAGTGCTGGAGTTAAATGCATGTATCATCACCACTTAGATTATCAATTTATTTCTATCTGTGTGGGACATTTACTTATTCTTTCTAGATTTTGTTGTTATGACCACAAATCATTCAGGAAAAATAAAATAAATGAAGATGGAACGAATCAGTATAAAGTATAAATGAATATATTTCCATTCTTTTACCTTTAACTTAAGCTGAACATCCATGCATTTGTTTGATCACAAAATAAGCAATGGACTCTATATTAATGAAACAATACTAAACCATTCCAATTAAAGTTCAACAACAGAATAAAAACAGTTTTCTTCTTGTAGAAATGATCCAAAACTATCATTTGAATGAGAACATGGTGAAAGGAAGGAAAGATGATGCAAGAGGGACAAACCAAGGGGATTAAATTCAGCAGAAGTTATTAGTAGACAGATCACAGGGCCAATGAGCAGTATCAGAGGATGTCTACATGTATCGTCAAAAGTGATACTTCTCTAGGGAGCTCAGTGTTGGAAAATATACAGAACCTGCTTTGGTGGCTACTCAGCCTCTAAAGCCTATTTCATGAAGACTTGGCTGAACATACAGTTCTAAATGAGAGTTGGTACCATTAGTGAGGCATAAATAAGAAAATCAGGAGTAAGCCAGTAGAGTGGGTCAAAATCTATTTATTCTCTAGATGACAGGTTGGCAATGATGTCAGTTCACTCTAAGATAGATAAGGCTGCTTCTGTTTTTCACAAACCATTGTCATGTCATCTCTGTTTTTATAGAAGCACATTGAACAAGTGTGCTCATCAGTCTACAGAAAAGAATGGAGAGCTAGAAAGTGTGGGACTAAGATAGTTCCTGCCTTTAGAAAACAGAACCTACCATGCTTAGTCCACCACACAAAAACTCTTACTTTGAGGAACCCTGGCGGGTTTCATATAAGACTTGTAGTATAATGATCTAACTGTTTCTTTTTCTTTTTAGGTTCCAAAATGGCCAACTTAAATTCAAACATTATTTTCAGTGCTGATTCTGTGAAATGGATTTAAAAATGCAACAAATTCTCCTGTTGTCTCTGTTTAGTTAATGTAATTTGGAAAGTTTCTATCATTTTATTTTATGTCAGAGAATGTAGAAACTCAGTCCACACAAGACATGATTTGTTTCTGAATTCACAAAATAATTATTTCTTAGTTGTCTTGCTTTTAATAAATTTCTTGTTTTGGGAAGACTAATAATTTCCTATGACAAAAACAATTTGATAAATTAAAGAATCAAAATGTAAGAATGTTGCCTGTTATGTGGATTCCCTCTCCCAGTTGCTTTGAAATCTGTACATAGTTGAATCACTTTGTGGATGCTTACACCATTAGTTTGCCACCAGGAGAAGCAGCCCTTGTACAAATCATTTGAAAGAATACTGAATATAGTAAGTCACTTACACTTGCAGAAAAACTATGGTTGATCAAGACATTATGTGAAGAAGTGGTGTAAGAACAGACAGAGTACAAAAGTTCCATCTCAAGTTGGATCACTCAAGACAACCAGTGAACAATATAACCTTGTTCTTAAAATGTCACATCTTGATCTCTATTGAATTCTTTGATTTTCTGAGAGATGCTATGCAGAGAATGGTTTGATATCTTCTGGAAAAGTCTTTTTTTTTCCTTCTTTATTTGCTTTCCCTTTTCTTTCTTTATAGAACGGCTTAGATTTTTTTAAATATAATTTTTTATTGAAAAAAAATTTTTCTGCCTCCTCCCCGCCTCCCATTTCTCTCCCTGTCTCCCTTTTCCCCCCTCCCCCCACTCTTCTCCCCCTCCCTCTCCAGTCTGAGGGGCAGTCAGGGTTCCCTGCCCCGAGGAAAGTCCAAAGTCCTCCCAGCTCCATCCTGGTCTAGGAAGGTGGACATCCAAACTGGCTAGGCTCCCACAAAGCCAGAACCTGAAGTAGGACCAAAACCCAGTGGCATTGTCCTTGGCTTCTCAGCAGCCCTCACCACCCCCCCAACAGACAAAGGTCTGATCTCCAAAATATATAAAGAACTCAAGAAACTAGACGTTAAAATGCTAATTAACCCTATTAAAAAATGGGGCACTGACCTGAACAGAGAATTCTCAACAGAAGAAATTCAAATGGCTAAAAGACACTTAAGGTTATGCTCAACCTCCTTAGCGATCAGGGAAATGCAAATCAAAACAACTTTGAGATATCATCTTATACCTGTCAGAATGGCTAAAATCAAAAACACCAATGATAGCCTTTGCTGGAGAGGTTGTGGAGAAAGGGGTACCCTCATCCATTGCTGGTGGGAATGCAAACTTGTGCAACCACTTTGGAAAGCAGTGTGGCGGTTTCTCAGGAAATTCGGGATCAACCTACCCCTGGACCCAGCAATGCCACTCTTGGGAATATACCCAAGAGATGCCCTATCATATGACATTGGCATTTGTTCAACTATGTTCATAGCAGCATTATTTGTAATAGCCAGAACCTGGAAACAACCTATATGTCCTTCAATAGAAGAACGGCTTAGATTTTTATTTTTTAAATTCTACTTTCAAAACCAGAGCCTTTATGTTTTTGTTTTGCTTTATAACAGGAGTGAAAGTTAGGTATAACTAAGAATATTTTTAATGAGAAGCAGTAATTTAAGTATTAAATAACTACTATATACTAAAACTGTAATAAATTATTAATGAGAAAACCTATTTTATGAGATTAAAAGAGAGAGGTGCTATGGAATAATCCTTTTGTCCACTGTAAAGATTTGCCATTCTAATTGGTTTAGTAAAAATCTGACTGCCTGGGAACTAGGCAGAAAGTATGGGCAGGACAACCAAACTAAGGATGCTGGAATGAAGAAGGGTGGCATCAGGGAAGATGCTAGCAGATGCAGAGTAAGTAGGACATATAGAAAATGAGGGAACAAGCCATGAGCCATGTGGCAGAGAGTAAATAAGAAATATGGGTTAATTCAAATAGCAAGAACTAGTTAGTAATAAGCCTGAGCTATTGGTCAAGCATTTATAATTAGTATAAGCATCAGTGTGTTTATTTGGGAGTTGCTAACAGACAGAACCTTCTTCCTACAGAGAGATTGTCTAATAGGCAGCTCATAACTTTAACTCAAATGCATTGATTGCAATGGGGAAATGTGTAAGAATATATATCTAATTCCATTGTCTAATTGGATAGAACAATTAGAAATAAACCATACATAGATTCAACCATAGATTCTTTAATGGAGGGCACTTTGGGATTTTATTCATTTACATAAACTGTAGACAGAAGTTTTTGTCCCACCTGGTCCTATGGCCATTCAGTTCCGAATAAACACACAGAGGCTTATATTAATTATAAACTGTTTGGCTTTATTGCTCAGGCTTATTATTCACTATTTCCTACAGCTTAAATTAACCCATAATTCTTATCTATGTTTAGCCACATGGGTTGGTACCTTTTTTCAGGGAGGCATTTTCATCTTGCTTCCTCTGCATCTGGCTGATGATTATGTCTCTGCCTTTCATGTTCCCAGAATTCTCCTAGTCTGGTTGTCTCACCTATACGTCCTGCATGGCTACTGGCCAGTCAGTGGTTTAGTAAACCTATATGAGTAACAAATCTTTACAGTGTACGAGACATAGCAATAAGCATATTAGTGATCTCTTCCATTTTATATACATACATGTTGTATAGCATAGGCTTATTCTAGACTATAGTCCAGACACGATTCACTCCAAACTTCTGAGAGACTCTATACAAACATAGAAGCACAAGTACTGCAGTCATTGACTATTACTTTCTATAATTTGGATTCCGCCTTAGATGGACCTAGACTAGGTTTTATTTAATGACTAGGTTTTAATCTTGAGTTTAAACTTTAATCTGACTTCCTTGACCATGAGGGCATCCCTAGGCCTGATGATGCCAGAAAAGCCATGGTGTTAAAGAGTTTGAGAGAAAAAGAAGGTTAGATGCATTTACCTTATGAATTTTTCAAACTTAGATGGCCAAAATAATATAGAGAAATGTGAATTATGCATGGGAGGGCAATGAGATACTAAGGTCTTCATAGTTCAAGTTTAGCTACAAAATACCCCAGTAGCACAAAAAACTGAGAGAAACAATTAATAAATGGCACCTCCTGAAACTGAGATGCTTCTGTAAAGCAAAGGACACAGTCAATTAGACAAAAAGGCAGCCTACTGCCTGGGAAAAGATGTTCACCAATCCTACATCAGATAAATATCTGACCTCCAAAATATATAAGGAACTCAAAAAATAGACATCAAAATTCCAAAGAACCCAATTAAAAAATGGGGTACAGAACTAAACAGAGAATTCTCAGCAGAAGAATCTCAAATGGCTTAAAGGCAATTAAGGAAATGTTCACCATCCTTATCCATCAGGGAAATGCAAATCAAAATAACTTTGAGATATCATCTTAAACCTGCCAGAATGGCTAAGATCAAAAACACCAATGATAGCTTATGCTGGGGAGGATGTGGAGTAAGGGGAACACTCATGCATTGCTGGTGGAAATGCAAACTTGGTTATATTTTTATGCTCCTTATAAAATATAAAAATAAAATTAAGAAAACAATTGCTGGATAGGCATAGTAATCCCAGCACTGGGGAGGCAGAGGCAGGAAGATATCTATGAGTTTGAGGCCAGACTTGTCTACATTTTGAGTTTCATTACAGTCAGAGCTGTAGAAGGAAGCCTTATCTCAAATGTATTTTACCCACGAGGCAAAAGACTTATCCATTCAAAACTACAAATCATTACTGAAAAATACCAAAGACCCTGATAAATTTAAAAAGTATCCAGTGCATCTGGGTTGAGAGATGCTTCATCAGGCGATGAAAGGAGACAGAGACAGAGACCCACATAGGAGCACCGGACTGAAATCTCAAGGTCCAAATCAGGAGCAGAAGGAGAGAGAGCACGAGCAAGGAACTCAGGACCGCTAGTGGTGCACCCATACACTGAGACAATGGGGATGTTCTATCGGGAACTCACCAAGGCCAGCTGGCCTGGGTCTGAAAAAGCCTGGGTTAAAACTGGTCTTTCTGAACATAGTTGACAATGAGGACTACTGAGACCTCAAGAACAATGGCAATGGGTTTTTGATCCTACTGCATGAACTGACTTTGTGGGAGCCTAGGCAGTTTGGATGCTCACCTTACTAGATCTGGATGGAGGTGGGTGGTCCTTGGACTTCCCACAGGGCAGGGAACCCTGATTGCTCTTTGGGCTGACGAGGGAGGGGGACTTGATTGGGGGAGGGGGAGGGAAAGGGGAGGCGGTGGCGGGGAAGAGTCAGAAATCTTTAATAAATAAATAAATAAATTAAAGAAAAAGAATCCACAAGGATGACCCCAGTTAAGACCCTAAGCAATAGAGGAGAGGGTGCCTGAACTCACCTTGCCCTGTAATCAGACTGATGAATATCTTAAATATCACCATAGAACCTTCATCCAGCAAATGATGGAAACAGCGGCAGAGACCTGCATCACATCACTGGACTGAGCTCCCATCGTCCAGTTGAAGAGTAGGAGGAGTGAGAATATGAGCAAAGAGGTCAAGATCATGATGGGTACACCCACTAATACAGTCTACTTACTTGAGCTAATGAGAACTTACCAACACCAGCCAGACTGGAAAGCAACAAGCATAGGACCAAAGTAGTCCTGAATGTGGTTGACAGTTGCATGACTGGGAAGACTGAGGGGAACACTGGCAGTGGCATCAGGATTTATCCCTACTGCTTGTACTGGCATTTTGGGAAACTATTCTCTTTGGATGAATATCTTGCTCAGCCTAGATATAGTAGGGAGGGCCTTGGACATTCCTTGAAGCAATGTGCCTTATTTTCTCTGAGGAGTGGATTGGGTAGGGAGTTGGGTGGGGTTATGTGGAGGAAATGGGAGGAGGGGAGGGAATGGGAACTTGGATTGGTATGAATAATAAAAAAGATTGTTTTTGTTCCTAAAAAAATAAAAATTGAAAAATTATAACCAAATTTTATGTACAGAATTTGAATCCTGTAGCTTTGCAGAGTAGAATAATGTTCGTTAGCACTTTGTACGTGTAGAATTCTTAGTATTTTCTAGATATATAATTGTGTCATTTGTGAGCATTGGCTAATTTCATTCCTTTGTGCAACTTGGATGGCTCCATTTCTTATCTTACCTGAGGAATCTACCTGGAGCTTCTGTTACTATGTCTAATAGAACTCGTAAAAGGAGGCATCCTGGCTTATTTTTGATCAGGTAGGACAGTCTTAGCTTTCTATTCTTAGTAATATTAAGCTAACTATTGCTTTTCTTATAATGGGAGAAACCTTTTAATCTATTGTGTTGAGTGATTTTACCACATGACATACTTTAAAAATGTCAGCTATGATAATCATGCTTTTCTTTTTTTTCTTAAAATGCATATCACTTTGGTTTCCATGTTGGAAATTCTTGCAGTACAACAGCACCTTTCTTGGTAATGTTGCACAAGTTTTATATTTTACGCTGCTTTTGTTTGTTTATTTGTGTATGTGCATGCACACACATGTGTGTGTACGTGTGTGTGGTGTGAGTAAGCCACGGTTCATTTGTAGGTATCAGAGGAAACCCTGCAAAGTTCATTTTCACTTTTCATCATATGGGTCCTGAGGATCAAATGCGGATTTCCAGGCTTGGTGGCAAGAACCTTTACTTTCTGAGCCATCTTAAGGGTCCCTAATCCCTTCTCTGTGCTGGTGAATATGGGTTCTATAATGTCACTAAGGACTGTGCGAGTCAACACTCACGAAAGATGTTGGTCTGTGGTTTTTGTAGATGGGTCTTTAACTGCCATTGCCATCAGGGTAATACTGGCTTCATAAAGTGAGTTCTCAAGTGTTTTCCTCTTAGTATTCTTTGGATGAATTTGAGAAAGATTAACATTAATACTCATTTAAATGCTTGGTATAATTCCCTAGGGAAGTCATCTGATCAAGAAGTTTTTGATTTACATTTTAATTTTACCATGTCCAGTTTTGTTCATGTTCCTTCTTAAACAATAGTGCATTTTTTTATGAATTTATCTTCTTCAGTTAGGTCACTTAATTTCTTAACATACACTTGCTCATAATATTCTCATTTAAAATCTGTTACAAATCACGGACTATAGTTTCACTGAGGTTACTTTAACTCCCCCAGAGATTTCTGGAACTAAGACTCCTAAAGTGAAAAATCGTTACATTTTGTAGGCAGTCCTGAAATTCTAACATGTTGGTTCATGTATTGAAAGAACAAGAAAGACCCATATTCACAAGGTTTTGAAGTTTGGGAAGGGGAGGGATAAGACACTGATAATCTTTGGGAATGTTTATACACAAAACTCCAGCAATCAGGAGAATATTTTGGAATGATTTTATTTGCAGTGAATGGAACAAGCTCAGAAATAATACAGACTCCATTAGCCTTAGAACACCACGCTAGCGTCACACTTGAACTCGCCAGAAAATCCATTGTGAAATCAGAATTGCAGTTGGCTTTTGATGCTATCGATAATGGTTCATATGAGCATCTAGCATTTCCCCTCATGGTTGAGACTCAACTTCCCTCTACTCAGCCTAAGGAAAAAAAAAAAAAAAAAAAAAGAAAGAAATCAGCTGTTGTGGCAGCACCGCAAAGGAAAATGGGACTGTTCCAGATCAGCTAGGAAAAGCAGGCTTTGCTGCTGGGTTCTGTGGCCTCCATTCACTGTCTTGCAAAGCTATGCACATTGCTTCAGCCACTGCTCCTCTCTAGACAAGGTGCTTTATATGAGAGAACTGGTGTCTAAGGTCCTTTGTAGTTACAAATTCTTGCAGGTAGTGCAATGGTAACAGTTATGTAATTCCCAGATTGTACAACTGTTGAAAACAATACACACATTCTTAACTTGCTAAGCATTCAAAAATTCTGAAAAGTTACTTTGTAACTCTTTCCTAATTAGTTGTTACAATTTTAAAATCTTCTTTGTTGAGCCCTATTTACTTATATACTATGTGTGTGTACTGGGGTCAGATGTGTGCTGTTACACATATACAAAGGTCAGATGACACAGGTATGCAGTATTACCTCCCCTCCTCTTACCTTGTGTGTCCGTGGGATGGCGCTCATGCTGTCTGTCTTGGGGGTAAGAACTTTACCTAATGAGTCATCACCCTGGCCCATATCCTACCATTTCTAAATGGCATAGTTTTTTTTTTCTTGTAGAAGGACATAACACCAGATGGTTCATATGCTTCACCAAACCCACTTCTAGTAACATTACAATTAAAACAACATTTTAAAATAACAATAACTAACACAAGGGTTTCCTAGTGTTTTTTTGATATTTTTTTAAACTTCTCTCATATTTTGAACACTAAAGCTCATATACTTAGGAATTTCTGGGTTTTTGCTTATTGTTTTACTTCCAAATCTTAAAGCACTGTGTGGTAATTGGAGCTATTAAAAAATGCTTGGTAAATCCTCAACAGAAGTTAATTTTATCCTGATATAATCAGATTAACAATCACTGTTCTCCAAGACTTAGCCGAATATGTAGTTCAGTGATTAGGTATCTTGGACTAAAGATGTGTCTCAGTCATTAAGAGAACTTGCTGCTCTTATAGAGGACCAGGATTTGTTTTCCAGTGTTGACATTGAGTGATTGACAACCACCTGTTAACTCCAGTTTTAGGGATCTGACAACCTCTTTTGGCCTCCTTAGATACCCACACCTACAAGTTTTAAAAGAGAATTAGGTTTGTTTTAAACATGTCCTCAGACAAATAATAGCCAGGACCATTGTTGAGAGAAGATTATCTAGACATAGAAAATATTATTTTTTAAAATATTTTCTTTGACAAATAATCACTGGGACCATTGCTGAGAGAAGATTATCTAGACATAGAAAATATTATTCTCTTTTCTGTGACTGAAAAGGAAAAAAAAGATTATTACCTCTTTGCTTCCTTAAATACACAGGAGTTCCCATATGTCTTTCCATCAGAACCACAGACTGGTTTGTAAACTGAGTCGCACCTTTCTTTACCATCTGAGCTCTTGCTGACCATCCTTCCAGTCTGCAAAGATGGGAGAGAGCATCAGGTAAAAACAGCGTGATAAGTTTGATTCAAAAATGATCAAAGAAAACATTAATTGTTCATTTATTATTGAGAAGCATTATTCTGCATTATTATGTGTTAATCATATTATTCCCTTTTTACATATACTACATTGAATCTATAGGTCTAAAGGGTTATGTGAATGTCTAGAATTAACAATATATTTTGATCTATTTTACAATTGTAGGCGTAGAAGCATAGTGCTTTCAGGTTTAAGCCTCACACATGAATGTGTTAAGTATCTAATCAGTGACTTAAAGATGTAGTTATTTACCACAAAGTTTCTAAAACATAACCTGCTCTTAAATGATTTAGAGACAAATCTTAACTCTAAAAGGAGCAGCAAGTCTGGGAAAAGCCATACTTACAAATGTAAATAGCATAAAATTTATTGTTTTTTTTTTCTGTGTGAAGGAAAGATGAGGCAGGCATAAAATTATGCACAATTTCTTTATGTAGTACATAACAATATTTCTTTGAGTATAAATTACTAAACATCAGAAGATTAGTTTCACAGTTTTGGTTAGCCCATGAAGACAATCATTAATAAGAATGATGAGACACTTTTAGTCAAAAGTTTATAACCTTATGATGGTGACTTATTCATATATAGCCTATAAAACAGATAGTTGGCCAAAAGACACCTAAGGTATGCTCAACTTCCTTAGCGATCAGGGAAATGCAAATCAAGACAATTTTAAGATACCATCTTACACCTGTCAGAATGGCGAAAATAAAAAACACCAATGATAGCCTTTGCTGGAGAGGCTGTGGAGAAAGGGGTACACTCATCCATTGCTGGTGGGAATGCAAACTTGTGCAACCACTTTGGAAAGCAGTGTGGAGGTTTCTCAGGAAATTCGGGATCAACCTACCCCTGGACCCAGCAATACCACTCTTGCGAATATACCCAAGAGAGGCCTTATCATACAACAAAAGTATATGCTCTACTATGTTCATAGCAGCATTGTTTGTAATAGCCAGAACCTGGAAACAACCTAGATGTCCTTCAATTGAAGAATGGATGAAGAAAGTATGGAATATATACATATTAGAGTACTACTCAGCAGTAAAAAACAAGGACTTCTTGAAGTTTGCAGGCAAATGGATGGAAATAGAAAACACTATCCTGAGTGAGGTAAGCCAGACCCAAAAAGAGGAACATGGGATGTACTCACTCATATTTGGTTTCTAGCCATAAATAAAGGGCATTGAGCCTATAATTCTTGATCTTAGAGAAGCTAAATAAGAAGGAGAACCCAAAGAAAAACATAAAAACACATAGGCATCCTCCTGAATATTAACCTTCATCAGGCGATGAAAGGAGACAGAGACAGAGACCCACATTGGAGCACTGGACTGAAATCTCAAGGTCCAAATCAGGAGCAGAAGGAGAGAGAGCACTATCAAGGAACTCAGGACTTCGAGGGGTGTACCCACACACTGAGACAATGGGGATGTTCTATTTGGAACTCACCAAGGCCAGCTGGCCTGGGTCTGAAAAAAGCCCGGGATAAAACCGGTCTCGCTGAACATAGCGGACAAGGAGGACTACTGAGAACTCAAGAACAATGGCAATGGGTTTTTGATCCTACTGCACGAACTGACTTTGTGGGAACCTAGGCAGTTTGGATGCTCACCTTACTAGACCTGGACGGAGGTGGGTGGTGCCTGGACTTCCCACAGGGCAGGGAACCCTGATTGCTCTTTGGGCTGATGAGGGAGGGGGATTTGACTGGGACTGGGGAAGGGGGAGGGAAATATATAAATTAAAAAAAAACAGATAGTTATTTCTCCCATTTTATAAGCACTATACAATTGCCAAAGTTGTTTGATGCTCTGAAGACCTCAGCGACCTGCTCAGAATGTTAAGAAGGATGGCAGCCTTCTTTCTGGGAAAGTAGTACTTTAAAGCAACCAAGAGACACTAAGAAGAACAAATAGCTTTCTCCAGAAAGGAAGATGAAAATAGGTAATTCATGATAAAAAATAATAAAGTTATCCTTAAGTTAAGATAGAGGACATTTTCTATCAAACTAGGGTATAAGTATAATATGAAAGCTTTCAGATAGATGGAACCAGGAAGCCACAGGGGAAAGAAGGCAGGACCCAGGAGAGGATACAGGATACGCGCCGAATATGTAGATGCTCCTGTTCATGTAAAACAGCTCACAAGCATCAAGCATGTTGTTATTCCATCCATTGACCAAACCAGGAGAACTGATTTTTGTGTTTCATTTATCCTAGACTATAAGAATAGAGGTTAAAATGAAATGGTAGTTTTTAAACCATGTTCATGATTGAGTTGAAACTAGAGATGGTTAGTTATAAAGAAACAGCATAACTTCTACGATGCAGGAAATGCTCAGGAATATATTAGCAGACTATCACAGCACTCTGTGATATGGACGCCATGTGAGTAAGTGCCATTTGGAATGACATTGGATGACAAACAGGGTCCTAACACTGAAAATCCCTGGAAGTCACATTCGGGATTTTGAGTTGCATCTTTTAGGAAACTAGAGGCACTGAAGAAATTTGATCAGGAACAGCAGACCAGTTTCATTTGGAATGATCATGTTTACAGATTACATCTGCGATTGAAATGGGTGTGAAAGTTAAACCCAAGAGGGATGGACTCGGTTGATGAGATTTTTCATTAATTCAGTTTATGTTTGAGGGTTTGAACAGGAGAGGACAGAAAGAAACAAAAAAATGATATAAAACAGAAAGTCCCTCAGTGATGACGAATGTGAAACTAACGTTGCTTTCATTTTGCTTGGTCAGTGGCATTGCAAATTGTTCTTAGTTTGTGGTATTCAGCTAACTATTATCAGGCTTGGAAAACAGAATGACTTAAGTAAGTTTAAAGAATAAGACAGAATCAATACTAACCTTAATCCTCATTGTACCATCCTTTGATAAGTTATCTTCATTTTTTCTTTCTTCTTGTTTATATAAAGACCTTGGTTTCCTTTGTTGGTTAGAAGATTTTGGCTTCCATTGTTGGCTAGAGGATCCCGGTTTCCCCTTTTGGCTAGAGGATTCTAAACTCCCAGGCTTGCCTTTATTGGTAGGTAGTGTTGGCTTCACCTTTTGGCTAAGAGACTTTGGCTTGTCTTTGTTCTTAGGTGATACTGGCTTCCCTTTTTGGTTAGGAGACCCTGGCTTTCCTTGTTGACTACGTGATCCTGATTCTTCTTGTTTGTTAAAAGAACGTGAAGTTCCTTTTTGGTTTGATTCCCCTGACTTCCCTTGGGAAATCCAAGCACTGGGCATCCCAGGATTTTTAAGAACTTCTGGCCTCCCTTGCTGGTCACCGCCGACTGGTTTGCCTGGTTGGTTGGAATACCCTGGTTGTCCTTTCAGAATGAGCATTCCTGGTTTGCCTGGTGTGAGACTACTTCCTTGTTCATCAGGTTTCTCCCCTCCCCCAGGATTAGCTTCATTTTTTGTCTCTAGACTAAGTGAAGGTTTTTGATTCTCTTCCAGCTTGATAGTACTCGGTTTGAAAATCTGGGTAGAAGAAACTGAAATGAAAAAATAAGAAAAAGAATAAAAGAGGAATTATTTTAATATTTTAAAACAAATAATTCACCACATGATATGATTATCATATGACTTCTTGAATTTTTAAAAATTAACTCCAAGTAGGAATTTGCCCATTTTTCTCTCACATTGAATATGTAGGTTCTTCCAACTGTTTTTCTTTAATGAGTTATAATTTCCAAAATAGCATAGCATCTAGCATGCTTGTTCATTTGTAAATAGTGTTATCTGATTTCTTTTTAACTAGGCCTCCTTTCTGTCATTATTTCCCATTTTTTCTTGAGAAATAAGAAATAAGAGTAGTCTCTGCTCAGTACCTATTTTAAGCTTCTGTTTTATCATAGAATACATTTTATGACTGATTATCAATTTTCTAAGAACAAAGTCTCTTCCAGCCTGCAGGGAAAGCATTATTTGCCTCTAAGCAAAACTCCCAACATCAATTATAGTGTTGGTTATATTATTTTTTGTTAAACTATAGAAAATGATAGATACTACGTGTATTTTTGTATGTATCCTTTCTTTATTTTTTATGTATTTATTTATTTTTACAATGGCTCTAAGAGAACAAAAATTTTGACACTTCCAATTGAGCTCATCTTTTATTAACAAGGCTTTGGCTATTTGGGATATATTTTTATTTATTTGTTTTTATATAAATTTCAGCATTAATGTTCTGTTTCTTTGAAGGATGTCATTGGAATATTAATCAGAATTGCATTGAACCTGTAGGTTAAGCTAATCCATGCAGTCATTTTTACAATATTGATTCTGCCAATTTATGAACATGGAAGATTTTACCATCTTTTAGAATTCTCTTTAAATTATTTGTTCAGTGTCTTAAATGTTTATTGTAAAGGTCTTTCATTTCCTTTATTAAGTTTATCCTAAGGTATTATATTACACCTATTCAAAGTATAATTTTAAACTAAGACTTAGAAAATTTCACACAATGTATCTTGGTCATGTTCAGCCCCAACTCCCCCTTCCTAATCCTCCCAGAACCACTCTTCCCCATCATAATATCTTTTTTCTTTGTCATTTTCCCCCAGTAAAGTCTATTTTCCAGCAACTGTCCTAGTCCTCTGGCTCTTATACTCTTTCTGCCTCTCTCCCAGGATGTTCCCTGAGCATAGAAGTTCAAGGCTTGTGTTACAAATGCTGCTTGGAGGAGGGAACCCCATGGTCAGTTGATCTCTTTGTCACTTAGATCAGTTGTAGTTTTATGTAATGACCTCTTTCTTTCTGCTGAAAAAAAAAATAAAGCCTGATCTGGGATGAGAGCTATACTTCCTGTGGGCATAAGAAAAAGTTGAGTTCAGATAGAGATTGTTATACTGGTCTAGACGAGGAGCAGCAGTAGATTCTTAAAACTTTGTCATCAAAAGAAAAAATAAACTAATAAAAAATGGAGTACAGACCTAAACAGAGAACTCTCAACAGAGGAATCTAAAATGACTGAAAGACACTTAAGGAAATGTTCAACATCCTTAGTCATCAGAGAAAACAACTCTGAGATTCCATCTTACACCCATAAGAATGGCCAAGATCAAAAACACTGATGACAACTTATTCTGAAGAGGTTGTTGGGAAAAGGGAATACTTCTGCATTGCTGGTGGAAATGCAAGCTGGTACAGCCCTTTTGGATGTCAGTGAGGCGATTTCTCAGAAAATTAGGAAACAACCTTTCTCAAGACCCAGAAATACTACTTTTGGGTATATATCCAAAGAATGCTCAATCGTTCCACAAGGACATGTGCTCAACTATGTTCATAGCAGCATTGTTTGTCATAGCCCTTCGAACAAAGAATGGATAAGGAAAATGTGGTACATTTACACAATGGATGAAACTAGAAAACATCATTTTGAGTGACGTAACCCAGATACAGAGAGACAATTATCACATATACTCACTCATAAATGGTTTTTAAACAATAAAGCAAAGAAAACCAGCCCACAAATGACAATCCCAGAGAACCTAGACAACAATGAGAACCCCAAGAGAGACATACATAGATGTATGTATGGGAAGTAGAAAAAGACAAGATCTCCTGAGTAAATTGGGAGCATGGGGACCTTGGGTGAGGGTTGAAGGAGAAAGGAGAGGTAGGGAGGGGAGCAGAGTAAAATGTAGAGCTCAATAAAATTAAAAAACTTATGTTCTAAAACTAATGTATTCCATGTTTTCAATTTATTCTGGCAATTCAAATATCACTTATATTTTTTTATATTTTCAGATTATGGTCCCCCAGTGTTAGTGTCAAAAAACAATAAGCAAAAGTTAATATTTTGCAGCTTAGCAAAATGGCAATCTTCTGGGTCACATCTTTTGTTAATAAAAGTGTTCCTTTTGTCTCATCTTGTTCTTGATAGCAGTCACCTTTCTTCTTTTTTATCTTGAGGTTTCTTCTAAGATTTTCTTCAATGTTACTTTGTTTTCCTGGGTAACTCTCTGCTCATGGTACACAACTTAAAATCATCTTGAGGTAGATGGTTTCCAATTTCTACTCAGGGTCTTATTTTAATTTTAAATTTCGCTGCTTGATATCTTTAAAAGTATACACCTTCGAATCTCACACACTTTAAACATAACTGAATGTATTGGCAATGGTGTTGAGCATGCTGGTATACTGGCTGGCAGACACAACTTTGTCTAGGCAGAACTCTGAGCAGCCGGCAGCATTCTGAATGATGCTGATAGAGTATGGGGGGGGGAATCATGATTGTAATATAGTCATTCATCCAATTAGAGGAAATGTTTATGTTTAAAGAGCCCCTTACTGTGCCAGGACTATAATTTGAGTTAAAGATACAAAAAAAGACCATGATTCTGAGATATCTGTCAATGAATACAAATATGTAAATAGGACAGCATAGTCATACAGTCAGTTCTACAACACACAAAACAAAATGAATGAGAGACTAGGTAGCATGGATATGTCAGCAAAAAGTGGTGCTGATGTGGATTTGGGGGGGTGAAGAAGAGGAAGGGGTGAAAGTCTAACATTGGCATAGAGTAGAGGTCATAAAATCAGAAGTGGAAATGAAAAACCATACCAAACCAAATCTTTTAAAACAAACCCTGTCTTGAAAAACCAAAAAAAAAAAACCCCACCTATATTAAAGTATAAACTAGAAAGTATAGCAGTATTTGTCACCTACAAAGAGTTCAAATAATGTCAACTGATGTAACCACCTTTGCAATTTCTAAAGAAAAAGGGGAAACAAATTATTTCTATTTTACTTATAAGACACTCAAACACCTTAAGCAATTTATGTAAATATACAAATTCAAGATTAAAATAAAATTAAAATCTAATCACAGAACATTGGCTCACAGCACACCACCCTTCTCTTGCAAGATATGAAATTGAATTTTATGCTCTTATATAACATTTTTTGATTGACAGTACCTTTGTACTCTAAGCCTTTTCTAACCTCTTATTCATACTTCTGTCCGACCACAAGTCTTCCATTCTTGTACCCAGTCACCATTTTATGCCTCTAGGTCTTTATCGTTCTGAAATCATCTTTGCCATTTTTGTTGTTTGATTCTGATATAGCATCACCTCAATCCTCAAATATTTGAACTCTGTCCTTAGAGAGTTGGAAAGAAAGACACCAGACACAACTTTCTTACCTGAAAACACAACCAGGAACATGAAGGGAAGGAACGTCAACCCCCCCATGACAGAGCCCGGAGATTCAGACTTGGCTGTTGGACAGCGGAAGTAATTCTTCTGTAGCTCCTTTCTAAGTAAACCACGCTCATGACCACCATGTTATATATTTGAAAAATTCTCCACCCTTATTGCTAAATACTGTTCAGCACTGTCTCGAAAATTCCACAGTAAACTTTCACAGAGGAAGGTGTTTCTTGAATTTGAGCCTCACACCCCAAACTCCCATAAATATCCAAACTTTAATATGCGTCTGTCGAATTATCTTCTCCCTGGATGAAAATGGGGAGACACACCTGGGGAAGGGTTGAATTTATTGTTCATTTCTTTATTGCTAAGGAATGGCTTATTGTCAGGTGGTGTTGCTATTCACTCAACAAGTTTATATGTCTATGATGGGGACCTTCAAGGCATTTTCCCTCAACTGAAATTTATACCAATCATTTACCTCAAATTACATATTAAAATCAAGTTAAATGCATCAGCTATTGGTCATTAGTAAGTTATGAATGCATTCAGTAGGGAATGATGACATGTAATGTGTTTTTATGAGTTAGCAGGAGACAATAGAGTTCATGGTAGGGGAATAACATTACACTGTGGCCTTTTCTTCTCAAGTTATAGCACCATACAGATGCTTATGTGAAAAGCACCTCGGGAGGTGCACTTGATTTTAAACTTAGTATTATAACACACTGCAATATTGTCTTCATGGTTGAAGGCTCCATGTAAGAAATTCAAATTATCTAGAGCAGGTCCAAAAGATATGTTTGATAATATGACACCTAGACATCAAATAGCATGATGTAGGTGGATGGTTTTTGCCATCATAAGGATGTTTTATTCTGCAGCTAATAGAAAATATCACAGAAATCTGCAACTAGTCCAAATGCAGTAAACTACTGATCATGGGGTTCCAAGTCCCAGTTTACATATTTGCATTACAATCCTTACATTTGAGGCTCAGGGGACATTATGAAGAGTATTGGAATATTATAAGAGCCAGAAAAACAAAAAGCTTGCTGTGAAATTGTGTCTTCTACACATGGCAGGAAGTCATGAAATCTTAACATCATTGTTATGCAGACAATGACAAAAAGAGTTTGCATAGCAATATGGATGGAGGAAATCTCACAAAGCCCACAACCAAGATGAAGAGCTCGGAAAATTAAATAGCTGTGAAGACTGGGAGAATCAGTGTCCTTCAGGAACAACCACTTGATAGGTTATCTAATCCAAGAGCTCAGTTCTAAACACATGCATATATGAGTAACCAAATGTAATAGGCTTGGAATGCCGTGTGTGTGTGTGTGTGTGTGTGTGTGTGTGTGTGTGCACATGTGTGTGTGTCTGTGTCTAATTCTCTGTGTTCAAGTGTGTGTCTCTGTGTGTGGATTTGATGTATGTGTACGTGTGTGGTGTGCTGTAGGTGAAGTGTTTGTGTATAGGTGTGCTTTTGCTATCTAAAACATTGAAGGAAACTCATCACAAATCTCCCTGTAGTAAAATGAAGCACACGTACCCAAGAACAATTATTCTGTGAAAGCAACAATGCCTTTAAATGTGGTTTTGATGCAAACTCTTTGGATTCAAAGGAGAATCTCAGGTGATTTTAACTATCATTATAAAGTCCTGACTTACAAGTGTTGGATGCTGCTTACAATGTGTGTTGCTTTGAGATGTCAATTACCCCGGGGTTGAAAAGCAGGTGTAGCATGAGGTACTACAGAGGCAACTGTTTAAACAAAATGCAATTGTCCTAGTATCCTGTCAAAAAATCATGTTTAGAAGTCAATCTAGGAATTGAGTTTCTCTAGACACTTAGCTGTGTTTTGGAAAGGAAATGCCTTTGTTTCGTAGCATCTTTATTGTTATTCTGTCTTGATTTTCTCTTTACTTCTCCGTCTATAAAATGAGCTAGAGTTAGGATTAAAATGGATTTACTCTGGAGGTGGGAAAATAGAAAACACAATTTCCTGCTATCAATAATCATTTCAAATCCTGATTACCTGGATTGAATTATGTCAATTTAATACTTTGCCGGCACTTGAAATCCACATGGCTGTGCCCACGAGCCTGCTTTGTAAATGGAGTGGGACAAAGCTGGAGCAGGACCGGACAATGCCTGCTGCCTGCTGGCACTGTGCCAGCATTGCCCTCCTTTTTCAAAAGTGCTTTGAAGGGAGGGAGGCGAGTTGGTTTCTGCAGTGGACTTTCAATATCCAGATTACTTGATTAAATATCAGGCCATTTGCCACACACCCAAGAGTGGAGAAGCTATTAACTCTCCAATAATTTTCTCTTTTTGTATTCACTTGTTCTTTCCCAGGGAGAGAAAAACAAGTGTCCAGTTTAATTTTTGTGACGCTCAGAATAGTTCTAGAGTTTGAACACCGAAGAAGTGAAAAAAAAGGGGGTTCAATCACATTGTTTAGACTATCGTGATACAAAAACAGTATGTCTCTCTGGGTCCAGATAGAAAAGGAAAACATTTACTCTGGTCTTGGAGTATAACTTTTCTAAGAGAGACAGTCCCTGCTAAATGCAGCATCCTGTTGTGTTGTTAAAGTTGTCAGAGAGAAGCTTGCCAGTTAGTTAACCAATCTTATCAACTACAGAATCCAGAAAGGCTAAAGGCCATCCACTAAGTAATCCCTCTGCACCAAGGGCCCTTGTAATTCCTTAGCTGATTCACTGATTAATAAATTTACACAATCTCTGAGTCGACACAAGGGACCAGTTTTAGTGTGTTGAGCTCTGAAGAAATGATGGAAATCTTGCTTGAGATAGTTTCTCTGCTGTGGGTGTTTATTACTTTAGCCAGTACCTGAAGTTTCAATGCAAATTGAAATTCAGTTGCGTTCAGTTTCATCATTATTTATTGGGGTTACACATTTATCTGACACAGAACCGTGTTCCACTAACGCCAGCCAATGTTATTCTGTTAGCATAAGCATTGGAGGAAAGTAGACACATGTCTTTGCTGACTTCATTTTAGTTGAACCCATATGAAATGAAGAAACACCAATAAAATACAAAATAGAGTATAATTAAAATAATCATGAAGTACTCTGGTTACAAGAGAAGTCTTCTTCCCAAGACTTCTATTACATGAAGATCTTTTGTTGTATGTGTCTGTAAATTTGGGGATAGTAAATGAAGTTTAATCTCTTTCTAACCAACTAGTTCACCTCTATTTACCCCTTTAAGAATAACATTAGTTTTGACTTTTGTCGCATCTTCATATTTAAGAGAAATTAAACACACAGTCATTAGTTTTTTTTTAATTTTTTTGTTAACCTGTTACTTAAGCCTTGATTCTAATCACATTCTATATAGTAGCCACTCAGAGTTAGGTTTATATTTTGAAGAAAAAGCATATCTTTAGAACCATGTTACAAAGGTCAGCATCAATATATCCTTACATATTTCTGTTCTTCTACAGAACAAGAATCTACCCCCTCTTCCTGAAATTTGAGCTATTGTCACATTCCTTACAATAGGAGGCACTAGGTATGGAGGAATGGTAAGCTTTGGTCTAAGCCTTATGAGGCCTGGGAATATTAGATGAAATGAAAGATCCTCATGTGAGCTAAAATACCGGTCACATGACTGAAGCCATCTTGTAATTCAGTTGAATATCCTGTTATGACAATAGTGTATGAAGACAAATGTTCCTTCTAGTATAGTCATGCCTTCAAAAGCCACAGAACTGTGAAAGTTTGAATGTGTGCTTGTTGTAATCCACTAAGCTTGATGTGGCATTGACTATCGACATTGGATCAAGATAGTTATACGAATACTACTTATTGTGGCATCTTTTATTTGATAGTTTTTGAGAACTTCATACATGAGCACTGCATCTCTATCACTCTGTCCTTCCATGCCTCATCCAACTGTGCCCACGTTCTTCTCCAAAACTAACAATCTCTTAATTACCATTCTTACATGTATACAAACAAAATATATTATTATTTTTTAAAAAATATTTTGTTTGTTTCTAAATCTTCAAAACTCAAATTCATAAATTCCATCATATTTTCAAAGTATCTATGGCCAAGAAAAGGACAGAAGACCTACATTACATAAATCAAATGCTACATTACTTATCCTATGCTATATAACCAAGATAGTCTGATACTGACAAGGGACTAGATAAAGAAAGCCATGGAACAGAATACAGAATTTGTAAGCAGAGTCACAGAATTATAACCAACTGAACTTAGGCAAGATAATAATGACAATATAATGGACCGTACACTGTTATTTGAACAAATGGAGTTGAAATAAGATTTCTATATGCAAAACAATTAATATAAGCACAATCTTTCATACAACTCAAGAATAACAGATTTAAATGCAATTGTAAAACTATAAAAGTATTAGAAACTAAAACACAGGAAATTTTAATGGTCTAGGTTTCTGGTTGACTATATTGGATTGCTTGAAGAGCCATGTAGACCGTGCAATTGTTTATATTTGGATTATTCTGAGGATCCCATGTGTTAAATGACTGGTCTCCAGCCAATGGCACCATTTGAGAGGTGGTGGATGTATAACATACAGGGCCAAGAGGGCCTTAGGACACTGAAGACATGCCTTGCAATGGTGCTATGGGATAGCAGTCTCTTCTCTGTTATTCCTGGCCACAGGGTAAATGGGCTTCCTCTGCCATGTGCTGATACACTGATTCTCCGTTTACTTACAAACCCAGAACCAAAGCAACAAGGCCAGTTGATCAGGAGCTAAGGCTTCCAAAAACTATTGGAGCCAACATAAACAAATAAAATGCCCATTTTTTCTTTTTAAAATCTACTTATCTGTTATCTATCATCTATAATCTATCTATCTATCTATCTATCTATCTATCTATCTATCTATCTATCCACCTACCTACCTAATTACTTGTTTATTTACATGAACCTAAGAGTTAAGATCTCTAAAATTCTTAAAACAACATCTGGCACATAGAAAGCATTCAAAGAATCAAAGTTTTTTTTTTTTTTTCA